ACTTAAATACTGATCAAAAAGATATGCTTAATATTATAGCAAATGCCTCTGAAATTGTGTTAACTATAGTAAATGACATTCTTAATGCATCAAAACTTGAAGCGAAAAAAATCAATCTGATAATTAGGACATTTGATTTATTAGAATTACTTGAGAGTACAATTGACACATTTGGAAAAAAAGCTGGAATCAAAAAGCTCGAACTAATTGTAAATTGCGATGTAGATATGTTGCCGAAATATGTTAAGAGTGATCCTGAAAGGTGATTTAGCAACATATCTTGTACAAAAAACAAACTATTAATTATTACTTATCACCTTATATCTTATCAAATAGGCTAAAACAAGTTTTAACTCACTTATTATCAAATTCGTAACTATCATTTTTGTTTATTCACACCTATCTCCATATTATTTTTTTTTTTTGCAATTTGAACAACTACCTTTATACTCACTTATTATCATTATTATCACCTTATAATTATTATTTTGAACCAATTCTATGAATTCTTATAAAAATCATATGGAGATTTGGTTATAACAATTTAATTTTCATAACCTATGACTATTACATAACACAAACAATTCATTTTTAATTTCTTAGGGTTAAATTTACTAAGAAAGGTGAAATTGTAATGACAATTTCAATGCAATCACGAGAAATCACTGACAATGACAAAGAGAGTTCGACTTACGGTCAAATTGTTCAAAAAGAAAATTTATTTATTGAAATACGTGATACTGGGATTGGGTAAGCTACTTCTGATTATATACTTTATATTTTGCACATAAAGCAATAATCTAAAATCGAAATCTAAATAATTTATTTAATAATAACAGTATGGAGCAAGAATATATACAACATGCATGGGAAAGTTTTTCACAAGCCGATATGTCAATAACTAAGGAGAAAGATGGTGCAGGACTTGGACTTACAATTTGTAAAAATTTAGTAGAAATTAATGGAGGAGAAATTAATGTGGAAAGTAAAGTGGGAAAAGGAAGTAAATTTTCATTCACGTGGAATGTTGAACTATTAAAAATGGCATCTTTACCAATAGAAACTCAATTCAATGATCAAATAATTTATGCGTCACCTAATTCTATAAAAAGCAAACGTATATTAATAATTCATCCACTTGAAAATATGAGAAACTCAATGTTGAAATATCTTAAAAAAATTGAAAAAGTTGATGCATTCGATACTTTTGACGAAGGTATTATAGCAGCAAAAACATATAAAGAAATAAATAGTCTATTTGCTTATGATATAGTATTTATCGGCCTTTATGAAAATAACAAAGAAGAGGTTATAAATGCTGTGGTAGAGTTAAAAGAAATTAATGGTAATGACTTATCAATAATATTTATAGTATTTCAAAGTGATGAAGGAATAATGTTGGCAAGAGAATTAATGAGAAAAGCTTCAGGAACAACTTCAGTTATTTATACTCCAATTACCTGGATCAAGTTAGTTGCTCAATTTAAAAATATGGGAATAAATTAATATTAGTGGTCAAACGTGTGGTTTATAGTTGTGTCAAAATAACCATTTTTACTTTAGTGTATTTGTACTATATAGTTCTTGTATTTTAATTATTTATAAATTTATGTTTAATAATTTATGAATTGGTGTTATTATATAAGATTTTTAAGTCATTTACTATAGTTAACACAATTTCAGAGGCATTTGCTATAATATTAAGCATATCTTTTTGATCAGTATTTAAGT